GCGCGTACACTAACACATAATAATAGAGTTATATTATTATGTGTTAGTGTACGCGCAATGGCGGCGCCGTGTGTTTACAGTTGATACGCTTCAAGTGCCTGTGGTTTAAGCCCTAGCCACTGAGTGCAAGTGAACTAACCACGCGCTCAAGCAGCGCACTACAAATGTGGTTACAAAATAGGGCTGAGAACGAACAAAAAAATTACATACCAACTATCACTCATTAAACAGCGATGGAGATTTGTTACTTAAAGAGAATCTAGATAAATATACCATAACACTGTACTAACTAGGAAAACACAAGAATGGAGGCTGCCATATTTTATTCTGCACGTATCGAAAAGTATCGGCCGATTCGTATTGCGCAAATGCGGGATGATATAGAAATTCATAATTTTATATAGAACTGTTTAGAGCTAATTTCTATTTACTAATTTCTAATTACTTTTATGAAAACCGTATATGCGACACGCGGCAGTAGAAGAGACCGTATGCATAAAATCAGGACACCAAATATACAATATATAATAATATCAGGAGTAAATAATATAATCACAAATTATTTAGTGCATAATTAGGATATTAGGAATGAGATATATTATCAGGAGTAAAATCCCCTCATATATCTACTCCTAATAATATATCTCATTTCTAATATGTTCTCATTCAAAGCTTTGCCGATTCTAACACTAGATCCCCTATATACTATATGGTTCTCCCCATAGAATATGCTTCAACAGGCTTGTGCCCTATACACAATTAGAACTGCTCTAAATTGGATGTCATTCAGCATAAAGCTGCAAGATGGATTTGCAAAAAAACTATTCACGATAGCTAGTTCTGATGTTGTTTTGGCTCAACTTGATTGGCCTCCTCTTCGTGTCTGCTTTCACTATGCTAAACTTATAATCTGTTATTATATTTATGATGGTCAGGTGAAGATTGGCATTGCCTCTTGCTTTATGAAGCCTGCTCGTAGCACGTACTCGATCATCTGAGTGTGATCATTGCTTTCAACACGGGCCATCTTCAACGCATTCCTTTAGGTTTAGCTTCTTTGTTTCTTTCATTCCGTAGTGTATAATTCGCTCTCTTCCTCTTTAGATTATTGCAAACTTGATGCTTTTTCTACTGCAATCCGCAGTGTTGATCTGTCGATTTGATCAACTTTGTATCTTTTCATCTGCAATATAGTCCCTTGGAATATTTACCTTATAGGTTATTTGCATTCGTCTATGCTCTTCATGCAAAACTTAGAACATTTCAAAAGATTTATTATTGTTAGGTTAACATTGGTAATCCCCCTTGGGAAGCCTAGTCAGTGACGTAGCTAGGATTTTTTTTTAGCGGGGAGGGGGGCACTGGGAGCCCTTACAATTTCGTGAGGGCGGGGCACAATATATAATTTGACTTTTCAACTGTTGGAGGTAGCTGAAATGTAGAAGCAACATAATAGTCAAGTATTCGCGTCTGATGTGGTTCGAACCCTCTTTCTTTGTATTATACTGTTCTAACGGCATTGTTGGGAAAACTCAAATAAGTGCCTTCCATCTAAAGAACAAGCAGGAACTGAAAGTCAAATGGTATGACAAATGGCTGAAACATATACCTATAGCCCAGTCTACCTAGGTGTTACTTTAGACCGCTCTCTAACTTACAAGAATCACATCATCAAGACAAAGGCCAAAGTGGGTGCCAGAAACAGTATTCTAAAGAAGTTGGCCAATACTAAATGGGGACAGCGACGCGGAGGACAATCGAACCATTGCGATGCCTGTGCTACTCTGTCGGCTGAGTATTGCGTGCCGTGTATGAGTAGGTCGCCCCTGTGCAAATGTGACCAGTTGAACATTGCCTGCAAGCATTTTGGGAGATGTTGAGACAACCAACGATAATGGACTCTACTGCTCTGGGCAATCGCTCCCACACGTTTAGACGATGGCTTCGATCTCAGTTAGAGAATTACCAAGGAATGACCCTCGCCACCCCCTGTTCAGCATGACATAAAGGAGAGACTAAAGTCCAGGCCACAGTTTTATCTCACGCGAGTTCAACCCCTGGATGGCACCTCCAAAACACAGGATCGCAAATGATAAAGATTTTCAGCAAGCCAACATAAGCTTTCACTCAGACCCCAGGAATCCCTCCCGCCCGGAGCCAACGAGGTATGGCCGACGTGGCTGTGCCTAAACCGCCTCAGGACAGGTTTTGGTCGATGTAGGGCACTCATGCAGAAATGGGGATACCCTGAGGATGGTCCAATCGAATGCGACTGCGGGGAGGACCAGACCATGGGACATCTCCTGAAATGCCCCTTATTGCCAGAGCCCTGTAGCCCTGGAGACCTTGAGGCTTTCAACCACCGTGCCAAGTCCTGTGTGCTGCAGTCGCTGGGCCGAGTGTAGTGTAGTGACCCGAGAAGAAGAAGAAGAAGAACGGCATTGTTTTTAATTTAATTGTTTTTTTATAAAGCATGAATTTTGAGTGGGGGGGCACCTGGGGGGCACAAAAAAATGGTGGGGGGCGTGCCCCCCAGGCCCCCACGTAGCTACGCCCCTGAGCCTAGTATAACAACACTCATATATCCGAGCTTGTCACTGATTTCGAACCGTGCCATCTTCAAAGGATCCTTAGCTTCTTCATTTCTGTCATTCCATATTGGAATTTTCGTTCTTCTTCTGAGCTTAATTGTAACAATCAGTCACAGAGTATAACAGCAGTGAGCGAAACAAACAACATACCAGGCAAACAAATGCGCAATGAAATAATAAAAATATGAGGTGACGTCATATATATCTGTTACTTCAATCACGCACACACAAACACAGACACACACGCGCGCACGCACGCACGCACGCACGCACGCACGCACGCACGCACGCACGCACACACAAACAAATGCGCAATGAAATAATAAAAATATGAGGTGACGTCATATATATCTGTTACTTCAATCACGCACACACAAACACAGACACACACGCACGCACGCACGCACGCACGCACGCACGCACGCACACACAAACACACACACACACACACACAGATATGCACGCACGCACGCGAGGACGGATGCGCGCACGTACACACACACAGACACACACACGCACACACACATTAACATAGCACGCACAAGATGACTGATCCATAACACACGTAGGCCCTATCAATATCATCACGGGTTAATAATGACAAATTTGTCATTATTAACCCCTGATATCATCTGGTGAGTGAAAGAGAATTTATTGTCGATGTAGTGCAGATGCCGAAATCTATGAGGATTTTTTTTTGTCTGGTGCTGGACGCCCCAGGAGGTTAGACCTGTATCCTTTTATCGCAATTGCCGGAAGACAATTCACAACCTTAATTGTATAGATCGTGACACTAGAGTGGAATTGTCTCTTTGCTAAATCAATGACTGCCGCATTACTTCATAATAATACCGATTTTTCCGATCATGCTATACGTTACTGACTATTTTATTCGATAGATGGCGGGATAATCGCATCTTGGAAACGTACATGCATATGGCAGCAGTTGCGTAGTAAGTTAATTTAGTAATATAGGTCTACGCGCGCACAGTTACGATGAGCTTGAAAAGCATTGGTTGTTGTACTCATATACAACCACAGAGTCTGTAGAGTATGTGTGCGCGTTGGTTGCCTGGTATTACTGTCGATTATTCTAAACATTACAGTTTTAGTTTAGGTGTTGTTACTACTGGCACTTTAGATACAAAAATGTAACCCAAACACAGGGTAGGGGTGTTTGGGTTACATTACCCCTACCCTGTGTTTGGGTTACATTATTGTATCTACTGGCACTTATGCGATGGTTCTCGTTTTGCCTTCGTTCGTGATTTCATTACGTGCCCATCATCATAACACAGGACATAATGTTATTACCACGTAACACGTAACGCACAACACCATATACCCATTATAGATGACAGAATTCCTAACACGTTACACGTGAAACACAACAACACATGACACATAACACACAACACATAAACACAACAAAACTCAAACTGTGACCTAACAAGACAGTGACACTGATACTGAGTGATAGTGATAGTGATACTGTTTACTGTGATAGTTGACTATAGACTAAGTTGTGTTACGCTGCGTAAAACTTAAGTAACTTACGCAACACGAACTGTCAAACATGAAATTGAAACATAGCGATGTTATTGAGTTGAGCAAATATTTAGTTTACACCATTGTTCATTAAAAAGAGATTGTAAGGCCATATGTCATGTAAATATAGTTTACGTGAGCTAGGTGTTAAAACTTGATTTGCACACTTACATAATACATGTATGCACAGTAATGCAAAATGGTTCACTGATATATATGTCATATATTCATGCCTTGTGATCAGGAGTCTATCAATATTGATAGACTCCTGTTGTGATGAATGAACTAGTAACCTCATAATCTCATAAATATTATTCTTCAAAGTCCAAAGGCTATCAGGGGTAGAAATTAACTTTTGAACTCTGAAACGGACTCCCTACCCTCGAAAAGAGGGAGTCCGCAGCAAAATGAGGGAGTCCGCAGTCTGAGGTCAAAATTAAAGATATTAACAATAACGCATTTGTTATAACACTAACTTATTTTTAAGATTCATGCAGTTGTACGTGTGCCAAATTTTCTTTGGACATTAGCTGAAAAATTCGGTAATTCCGCGAGGCCGTGCTCCGGAACGAACTAGTTAGTATGGCAGAATTTTCAGGGAGTCACACGGACTCCTGCATATGTCAAATCAGGGAGTCCGACAGTAAATCAGGGAGTATTTGACTCCGGACTCCCGTTAATTTCGCACCCTGGGCTATATCGAAGACGGAACAAGACAAAATTGATCAGTTAGTCAGATTAACACTGCTGATCTGTCTATTTGATCAATGTTGTACGTCTCTTTCTAATAATTAGTGTTCATTATTTATAGAGATACGTGTGTATCTGTAGACTATATATCTTCCTGCAGGGCATAACTATATTTGTGAAAGATCCAATTCTATCTCAAGAGGCTGTATGTTTCTTACAATGGCTTTTTATATTTGTATGTTCATATATATACCAAGAATGGAAGGTGCAGTAACGTCACCATGACTACTGCATGTGTAACAGCAATATACTCAGTCACAGGGTGCGAAATTAACGGGAGTCCGCAGTCAAATACTCCCTGATTTACTGTCGGACTCCCTGATTTGACATATGCAGGAGTCTGTGCGACTCCCTGAAAATTCTGCCATACTGACTAGTTTGTTCCGGAGCACGGCCTCGCGGAATTACCGTATTTTTTCAGCT